ATCAATTTCTGGAGCTTTATTTTTTTGCCAAGTCCTTCAGAGCAGCCTGCACTTCCTCCTTCATCACCATTGCTTCTTGATCATATGTCACTTCTTTAAATTCTTCTGTATCAGCCAATTCTTTTTTTACTCTGTATACTTCTTCCATCTTCTTTTAAGGTTTCCTGTATCAGTCAATATTCTATCTATAGAATCCTTAAGTATTGCAACTCATGGCTTGAATTTGTTCTTTTGTTCCTTCAGCTTAAGAAATGCCAAGCAGGTTCAGCCCTTTTGATTTTCTGACTGCAGCTCCTTGCCCATTTCATTATAATATTTTGCTTTGTTTTTCTGAGCTGACCTTCAATATCTTCGATTCAGCTCCTAATTTCTACACCGTCCATCAGGTGAGGTCCATGTGTAAAGTCACTATTTGTGTCTTTAAAAAAAGATATTTGTGATAAATTGAACACACAAAAATAAAATATTCTTTCCCACCTCATTTCTGTCACCAAGTCTGTACTTTCTGATTACTATTCCTTCTTAATTGTTTCTAACTTTTGCATTTTAGTCCCTAATTGTCATTAACACAGCTTGATTGCATGTTTGGTCAATTTCAGACTGTAAGTTTGGTAAAAATTTTCAATTTCCTCTCCTTTGGCTTTAGCTGTGGAGCATATATTTGAATAATAGTTGTATTAACGGGTCTTTCTTGTATGCATATGTATAAGATTATGTCACCAACAATGTACTTCAGGATAGAACTTGAAATTATCTTTTTAACTATTAATGAAATACCATTCTTCTGTTTTTCATTCCCATCATAGTATACCAGATGATTGTCTGATTCAATGTGACCAAAGCTAGTCCATCTCATTTCACTAATGCCTAGAATATTGATATTCATGCCTTCCGTCTCATTTTTCACAACTTATAGTTTTATGACATTGATGCTTCATACATTCTGTGTTCTAATTATTAAAGGATATTTGCCACTATTTATCCTCATTTTGATCGACTTCAAATCTGAGCTCTTGACATTTTGGTATCTATCATCTGACCATCCATATCAAATGTTCCATTTTTCAAACATTGCCCGTCATCATGATTTAAGACAGAAAAACTTTGGTCTTTATGTCTAGGGACACTTTGAGTCTGTATGTCACAATATAGAAGCAATATGGAGAGAAGACTATGGAAAATTGGTTTAGTCTCCATAACTCCAACTAAATACACAGTAACCCACCTTTTGTGAAAGGACGCTTAACCTTCGTTGTAGGTTTTGAAAAGATGGTGGTTTTCTGAACAGTCTCTTCCCTGTTGCCCCCAGCCACAAATTTTTAGCAGTACTCTTTCCTCCTTGACCTAATTTGAAAAGTAGTATGTAATTGCTTTTTTAAAATAGTCATGTTAACAGAAATATTTCGGATATCACTTTCTAGGTTAGCTTCTCTCGTTGTCATGCTTCATCTCCTTCATCTACATTTGTGTGTGTTTGAAGAAAAGAGGGGACAAAGATGAATTGTATTTTTCCATGAAATCTTTGAAATTGGCATTTAATTTTAGGTAGGGTATTAAGAAAACCTCGATTTCATGCACTGAAGATCTGACGGGTTGATGCATTTGACTTATGATAACCATTCACTATCTTTAAAATGAATTTGCTTTACAAACAACTGTAAAACAACTCTCCTCTTTTCCTCCATTAAATGTTCAGGTAAAGTTCACCCGGAGCAGTATGAGATCCTTCTGTTTTTGTTTTGTTTTTTGCTATTTTCATGTGATCCACAGATATACCTACCTAGTTAATTCCAGCTGACGGGAAGCCAAGAAGCTTGCAAATGGATGATTTTACACTTCTGCAAATTAAAAAACAGTTTGGGAATTCTTCTGAAAAAAAAAAATCTGAGCTCTACCTCTAATACTAGGCCAGGGGCAGACAGTGGAACAGAACTCATATGCAAGTTCAAAATTGATGCTGAAAATTAAAACAAATCCATGAGAACCAAAAAAATGGTGTTGAGTCTATTCTATCTGAATTTCAAAATTATCTTAAGAATAAGTTTGAAACATTGAACACAAGTGATCAAAGACCAGATGATTCGTGGAATGACACCAAATAGGTAATCTGTGAAGAGGGTAAAAGATCATTGAAAAAACAGAAGATAAAGAAAAAGACCAAAATGATGTCAGAAGAGACTGGGAAAATTGCACCAGAGTGTAGAAAAACCAAAACAAAGGGAAAAGAACAGAGCAGAAGAATGTAAAGGCTAGCTTGAAAGACAAAGGAAAGTGTTCAATAGAATGTGCAGAGAGCTGGAATTGGAGAGAAAAAGGGAAGAACTCACTCTGCATTTCTCAAGCTGAGAGAACTGAAAAACCAACTTAAGCTTTGAGTCACAATTTTGAAGGGTGCTATGAGCAACATGTTGCATGATCGAGGAAACATCAAAAGAAGATGGAGGGAATGCACAGAATCCCTGTACCAAAAAGAACTAATTGACACTGAAACATTTCAAGAAGTACCATGTGAACAAGAGCCAATGATAATGAAGGAAGAAGTGGAAGCTGTACTGAAAGTATTGGTGAAAAATAAGGCCCAGAAATTGAAGAGATACTGATTGACATGTTTCAACTAACAGATGCAGCCATGGATGCCCTACCAGACTATGCCAGGAAATTTGGAGATCAGCAGTCTGGCTGACCAACTGGAAGAGATCCATATTTGTTCCCAGACCCACGAAAATGTATCCAACAGAATGTGAAACTATCCAACAATATCATTACTATCACAAACAAGCAAAATACCACTAAAGATTATTTAAAAATGGCTAGAACAGTACATCAACAGGGAACTGCTAGAAATTCAAGCAAGATTTAGAAGAGGCCGTGACACCAGGGATATTGTTGCTGATGTCAGATGGATCCTGGCTGAAAGTAAATACCAGAAGACTGTTTATTTATGCTTCATTGACTATGCAAAGGCATTTGACTTTATGGATCATAACAAACTATGGTTAACATTCAGAAGAATGGAAATCCCAGAACACTTGTGTTCATGCAAAACCTAGACTTAGACCAAGAGGCTGGTGTGTGAACAGAGCAAGGGAACACTATACTGTTTAAAATCAATAAAGGAATGAATCAGAGTTATATTTCACTCTGTATCTATTCAATTTGTATGCTGAGCAAATTATTTGAGGAGCTAGACTCTATGAAGAAGAATGTGACATCAGAGGAAGACTCCTCAATAACCTGCATTGTGCAGTTGACACAACCTTGCTTGCTAAGGTGAGAAGGAATTGAAGCACTTGTTGAAGAAGATCAAAGAACACAGCCTTTAATATGGATTGCATCTTAACATCAAGAAAACAAAAATTCTTACCACTGGGCCTATAGACAACATCATGACAGATGGAGAAAAGATTAAAGCTGTCAATTATTTCATCTTTCTTGGGTCCACAATCAAACACTCTTGGGACCAGAAGTCACAAAATCGGAAGACATATTGCACTGGGGATGTCTGCAGTCAGAGATCTCTCTAAATTATTGAGGAGCAATGATGTCTGTTTGAGGACTGAGGTACATCCAATTCAGACCATGGTCTTTCTGATCACTTACTATGCATCTAAGAGTTGGACATTGAATAAGTGTGACAGAAGAAGAATTGATGCCTTTGAGATGTGGTGTTAGAGAAGAGTACTAAATATCTTATGGACTGCCAAAAGAGCAAAGAGATGTGTCTTGGAAAGGCGCAGCTGGAGTGCTCTGTGGAGGCAAAGATGATAAAGCTTCATCTCACATACTTCAGGCATGTTGCTGGGAGAGGCTATTCCTTGGAGAGGGACTTCATGGTTGGAAAGGTGGAGGGTCAGCGAAAGAGAGGAAGACCTTCAATCAGATGGTTTGACACAGTAACTACTTCAATGGGCTCTAACGTGTCAGGAATTGTGAGGTTGGCACAAGATAAGGACAGGGTTCAGATCTGTTGATCACAGGGTCACTGTGCTTTATACTTGCCTTGACAACAAGGAGCTGAGGGAAGAGAGAGCCCCATCTTCTTGGCCACCCCAACCCAGAGTGGATCACCTACAGCTTCCATGATGCAACGTTGAGAGTAGTGGATGGGAGCATGTTGTAGCTAATGTCACAGATTGCCATTGTTCTTACTGAGATACAGTAGTTTTTCTTAAACAAATGCCTCTCCCTTTGCTGTATCCACGCAGGAAATTTCCAGAGACTTTAAATGATTAGTTTTTGTGTTTAGCAACTTTCACTCACTGTTTTTCTACCTTTCTCATACAATCTGTCTGGAAGTATCACTTGCTTAAATTTGTATGGATCAGGAGAGAAGGAGCTTCACCCCACAGAAGAAGATTCATCATCTTTCTTCCCCCTCTTCCTGGATGGGGACCAGAGTCCTCCCTCACATCTTCTACTTAGAGACAGTCAACATGAAGACACAGGCCCCTCTCTCAACCCTTCAGAGCAGCAGAAATGGAAGGGCAGAGGGGAGTCTCTGTGTACTTAGCAGACAATGGAATCCTTGGCCTTTCCACGTCACTGTGGGCACCTGGGAGTGAATTATTTCTGTGTAGGAGGCAGTCAATTTGTGGAAAGGGGGAGCAATAGAGAGGAGGGAGCACATGAGAGACGCAGGGACGGAAGTGTCATGTGAGTTTTTCCACATATGTAGATAGGATAAGGGAATGGAATCGTTGGATTACAGAGCCAAAGCCTAGGATCTCCTTCCACATGTAAATGAGCCCTTGCTGATGCCAAGTCACTGATATTTTACTTCTTTCCCCTCTTTTCCCTGCTTGTTCTTATTGCATCTTTTTAGGCAAAATGATTTCTTTAATTCAGAACATAAAGTATGAAAATGAAGCACAAGAGAGAGCCAAGCCCAGCAGGACCATCACTCCCATCGGGATATCTGTCCCCAGCTCCCAGCCTTTCTCAGTCCTTAACTGCCTCTGAGAACGAACGACTCTTCCCCAGATGTCCCAGGATATCTTCCATCAGGGGACAGTGTTGTAGACCTTGTAGTTATCTTTCTGGGTGATGTGCAGCTTCCAGGGGAAGAGGCGCTTCTGGGAGGGGAGACCTTGGGCCTTCTTCAGCATCAGCCTTATATCCTCGTCTGAGAGCAGCCGAACCAGATCCCCCTCCGAGTCCCGGTAGTTCAGGGCAATGTCTTCCCTCTGGAATTCCTTCCTGGATGACAAAAGTCAGGAACACAGGGTTAATCAAAGGACAAGGGGAGAAGCTGGGACATTTGTCCTAAAGATGAATACAGAAGTATGGGAAGGAGGAGGTTCTGGGCCTAGATCTGAAAGTCAGAGGTCAGACCCTGATGCAAGCCTTAGTGTCTGAGATGTCAAGTATCCCATGGTACAGATGGGGAAACTGGGACCTAAGGAGAAGGAACTTCCAAACCAAATGAGTAGCACAGCCTGGAATGTCTTGCGTATAAGTATGCTGGAGATATGAGAACTACTGCAAGGGAGGAGAAGGGGGTTTGGCCAGGTCCCTACAGAGTGGAGCAGAAGGATGTTGCTGGGAAGTATCTTCATGCAGGTATCGGGGAGCATTCTTTGAAGGGATTTAATTGCATTCTTATATTGACTGGAAAAAGTAAAAATCAACCCATCTATCTTCTAGTTGAGTTTCCAGTATGGATCAGAAGTCTAATGGGCTTGGAAATCCTTCAATCTCCAGATCCCACTTCCAGGATATTATCTCTAGAAACCAGTCAGACACGTCACCGAACTTGTGCCCAAAGAATGCCATCATGGCGCTGTTTATGAGACGTATAACCCGCCCAGTCACGGAGTCGGCCTGGCTCATGGTGGCCCTACTGTGTGCCTCTGTGTCACAGGGTTTTAAATCACTGGCTGGGGATTTAAACCTCCAAGCGGCTGAATAGCAGTAAAGTGTGTGAACCATTTATAACAGGCAAGGACTCCAACATTTCTTAGAGTACAGAGATTTCTCAGGTTTCTGAATTCCTGATTTAGATAAAACCCCCGTAAAGTAAGGTAAGATAGAATAGGATGGGATGGGATTGGAAGGGAAGGGAAGGGAAGGAAGGAAGGAAGGAAGGA